CAGATGTGGGGTTGGTGAAGATCTTTTCCCATTCTGTGGGCTGCCGTTTAGTCTTGTTGATCATGCTGTTTGCTTTTCAGAAGCTTCTCAGTTTCAGGAGGTCCCATTTATTAATTGTTGCTCTCAGTGTCTGTGATACTGGTGAGAACCATTTCTTTAAGCTGAAGGTGAGGGCTGAGTTGATGACCCGTTAGCTAATTCTTTTTTTTCTTTTAAGAAAAAAGTATTTTAGTCTGAATGACATTTTATAAAAATAAAGATTAAAAGGTGAATATCTACAAAAGCTTGGAAATACATCAAACTCGTTAATATTCTTTCTTTTTTTTCCAGATGGTTCACTTTCTTACACACTATGCTGACAAGATTGAATCTGTCCATTTTTCAGACCAGTTCTCTGGTCCAAAGATTATGCAAGAGTATGTATGAAATAAAAGTATTAAAATTCATGTTCCTTATTGGTTTTATGTTGGAACACCACAAGATACCCATGCAGTTTCCTTACCAAGTGGGAAAGTAAAATTGGTACTGCATGCTCTCCCACTTAGTGCATCATGAGAAGCAGCCAGCCCTCCTGACCCAACATGTTTTCATCACTGACTCAGTGACCTTGAGAAGGAGGGGCTGGTGCTGAGAACCTGCAGATGGTACGGCCTTTACCATTTCTAAATTTGTGATGTTTGACTTTAAATATAAATTTATGTATTTTGTATTTTCCTGCCTGTTCTCACTTCACTTTTGAATAACTGGGTATGTTTTTAAATGACTTCAGTACCCATAGTTTCTGGTTTTCCAGCAGTATTGTTGAGGTGTACAGGATCATTCAGGGTTTGGGCTTGGAATTGTTCATTGAATTTGCAGCCAGTCTCTGGAAAGCATAACTAAATATACTTCTGATATAGAATGGGTTCTGACCTGAATGATTAGTTGCAGGCTATTCTCATAGGCTATGGAGTTGAGTACAACTAAAAGCCATTCTGGACCAGGTTTGATGGTGCAGATCTTTGATCTCAGCTTTCACAGGCAGGAATAGCAGGATCTCTAGATTCTAGGCCTGCCTGGTTTAGATAATGAGTTCTCAGCCAGCCAGGAATACATAGTGAGACTCGGTATTAACAACAGACATTCTGGGAGCTATGGGTCCATTTCCCAATACCAGAATAAGAGTAACATCAACAAAAATGTACTCTGGATTTAGGTGTGTGTGGAGATCACTCAAGTCCTTATGCTCCAAGATGGTGTTGCATCATCCTTGCCTTGCTGAACTTGGTGACAACACCAGGGACAAAGTATTAGATTATAGCTTTCATCAAGCCTTTCGTTGGGGGTGGAACAGAAGTCAATTGTTTGACAGTCCAAATTTGCAATGACAGAGCAAAATTATAAACAGTGCTTGCTCCAGCTCCATGAAGTATTGTTGGTTGGATAACCCCCACCATACCAAATTCTCAAGGATGCTTGAGTCTCCTTTACAAAGTGATGTAGGATTTGCAGTAAAGTACATAGCCTTTTTCACAGGAAACCATCTGTGGATTCTTGTAATACCTGATACAATGTAAGTGCTATTAAGTAATTGTTAAACTGTATGCCTCAACTCTTAGAGAATAATGACCAAGAAAAGAAGTGAAAGTTGGGGGTTGGAGAGATGACTTGTGGTTAAGGGTGTATTGCTTATGCAGAAGACCAGGGACCAGGGCTTAGTTCCCAGCTCCCTCATGGAGACTAACTCTAGTTGCAAGAGATTTGACCCCCTTTGCTGGCCTCAGTGGGCACTACATACATAACATACATGCAGGCAAAACGCTCATACATGTAAAATAAATATAAATTTAGAAATTAAGAAATTAAGCAAGAGAAGTATTTAAAATATGGCCTCATGTTTAAATATAGGCATATTTCTGCCTCCACTGTGAGACATCACGGGAGGGGATCAAATGTAGCACAAAGTGGGCTAGAGGACTGTAAAGTGCCCTCGGGCTGTATGATCGCCATTGACTTGGAGCTGCAGCGTATATACAGTGCTATTATTTTTGGGTATTTGCCCAACTGAGTGGCTTGTATGCATGGAAAGTGCCTTTTTTACATTTTTTTTTAACGGACTTCTCTTTTGTGACAGGGAGGGTCAGCCTTTAAAGCTGCCTGACACTAAGAGGACACTACTGTTTACATTTAATGGTGAGTATTCTGGGTCCCAGCTGTCTAGTTCTTAGCTTCCTTGAAAATGTTTTTGAGATTATTTTTCCTTCTGAAATAATAGCTTTAAAACTACAATATTGCTAACCTTGTTCTTGCTTGTTGATTTCTGGACTTCTCTAAAGAGCTAGTTTGTTAGCATTAAGAAAGACTGCCAACCTAGAAATATTAACGCTGCCATTAACTCTAGGAAAATGGCTTTGTTTTCCAGTGCCTGGCTCAGGTAACACGTACCCAAAGGATATGGAGGCTTTGCTACCCCTGATGAACATGGTGATTTATTCTATTGACAAAGCCAAAAAGTTCCGACTCAACAGAGAAGTAAGACCCAAAGCCTTTCTAATAAACAGGCACCTTTTCCTGTTGGTTTTTCCCAGTGGGCAGTGGCCGTCAGTGACTGCAGCTACTGAGTCTTGGCTAGTTGATTTGAAGCTTACCAAAGAGTGCTCAGTGGGGTTTTGTCCTATGGGGTGGCAATGGGTTTCTTATGAAGACTTTGTTTCCTGGGGAAGGGTAAACAGAAAGCAGATAAGAACCGTGCGAGAGTGGAAGAGAACTTCTTGAAGCTGACACACGTGCAGAGACAGGAGGCTGCACAGTCTCGGCGTGAGGAGAAGAAAAGGGCCGAGAAGGAGCGGATCATGAATGAGGAAGACCCTGAGAAGCAGCGCAGGCTGGAGGTGAGACACTCCCTGCTGCTGAGGCTGCTGGGTTTGGCTGTTTTATGTTGGTTATGTTTTGAGATTATAATTATATCATTTCCTCCCCCCTTTTCTTCCCTCCAAAACTTCCTGTATACCTAGTCCCTCCTCCCAGCTTTCTTTCAAATTCATGGCCCCTTTCTTTGTTGTTGTTACTGTGGTGTATGTCTAAATATATAAATAACAACCTGATCGGTTTATATAATGTTGCTTGTTTGTATGTTTTCAGGGCTGACCGTTTGGTATTGAATAACTAGTTGGTGTGCTCTTGCTTGGGGAAGACTCTTTCTCCTGCTCTCTGTTCTTTTGCTTGTAGTACTTTGTTTAAGGTTGAGGCTTTGTGAAAATTTCCCAAAACTATTATTTTGTTTTTAATTATCCAGATGTGGGCTGGAGAGGTGGTTTAGAGGTTGAGAGCACTGACAGCTCTTCCAGAGGACCCAGGTTCAATTCCCAGTATCCACATGGCAGTTCACAACTGTCTATAACTTCAATTCCAGAGGATCTGACACCCTCACACAGACACACATGCAGGAAAAATACCAATGCACATGAAAATAAATAAATCTTAATTATCCAGATTCCTATTTGTACTGGACTGTCTCCTATGATAATTCTGTGTAGAATTGTACACAGGCTAAAAGTTTAATAAAATTTTCAGCATTTGGGATATGTTGTCATTTGACAGCACTTTATTCCTCTTGCAAACCATAGCAAATGAGTTTGTGCACCTGAAAAATGATTGAATTAACCTCTTTCCCCAAACAGTCCCATTTCAGATCAAACAATTAGGAAGAAATCAGGGACTTTAAAAGGAGCTGGCATGTATACTTTATATTTTAAATAAATTTCTCATTTAAAATCAGGACTTGGTGGGACAGTGGTGGTGAACACCTGTAATCCCAGCACTTGGGAGGCAGAGACAGGCCTAGTTTACAGAATGAGCTTCAGGACAGGCTCCAAAGCTACAGGAAAAATATAATAAAATTATCATTAATATGTAGTGTCCTTACTTTTTCTGTGAAGAAGGAAGTTCTCTTTTTCTTTTTTTGGCGGGGGAGGGGGGGTTGCATTTCTCTGTGGCTTTGGAGGCTGTCCTGGAACTAGCTCTTGTAGACTAGGCTGTTCTCGAACTCACAGAGATCCACCTGCCTCCCAAATGCTGCAACTTAAAGGCATGCGATGCCACTGCCTGGCCTGTTTTTATTTTTAATAATGTGTCTGCCTGTGGATGTGTGCATACAGATGCCCAAAAGAGGGTGTGGGATTCCACTGGAGCTGGAGTTACAGGGTAATAGGAGGCTGTACACTACCTGGTGTGGGTCCTGGGAAACAAATTCAGGTCCTCTGGAAGAGCAGCAAGTACTCTTAAACATAAGCCATCAGACCAACATTTTGAATAAAAGGCCTACACCTTTAATCACAGCACTTGGGATGCAGAAGTAGGCAGATCGCTCAGGCCAGCCTGGTCTACACAGTGAGTTCCAGGACAGAGATCCTGTCTTGAACGCTCTCCCCCCAATTCTCCAAAAGGCATTATGAGTAATAATATGGCTGAGTAAAGGTGCCCATGGAGATCAGAAGCATCCAATCCCTTGGAGCTGGAGTAACAGGCAGTTGTGAGCTGACCTATGGCATGTCCTTGGAACAGAACTTATAAGCTCTAACCGCTAAGCCAGTTCTCCAGTCCTAGGTGTTTTTCAGTGTGTGCTTAGAGCTGAATTTAGATCTTTCCTCCTCCCTATTTCACAGGAAGCTGCTTTGAGGAGAGAACAAAAGAAGTTGGAGAAGAAGCAAATGAAAATGAAACAAATCAAAGTGAAAGCCATGTAAAGTCACCCCAGAGGTCTCCGTCCATGTCACCTGTAAGATCTGCGTCCACAGGAAACGGGAAAAGCACGAACCTTTTCTCCCTTAAAGTCCACATAGTCCTGGTGACTGAGAGTCCTTATTTCACCCCCTCCTCTTGGTTTGGAGTTCTACAGAGGTTGTAGATATATTGAAAGGGCTTTCAGTTATTTCCTTCCAGGTAATCAAATCAGTTTGTTTTATAAAAGAATGGTATATAAAGTATGTGTAGTTTTAAAATATTTTTAAATTATAACGTGGATCATCAGTGCTTTACTTTGGTGTTTGAAGAACAATCATGAAATTTCTAGATAGGTTGTTGCTTTTTGTTTAAACTGGGCAATTGGAGACTGACTCTAAACCAAGATCCCCAGAGTTTCTATTGGAATTGCACAATAAACATTGCTTGTTGTTGTTTCTGTGTCCACATTAGACTCGTGAAAAAGTGGAACTTAGAACCCTGTATGTGGAGATGGATTTCAGAGACTTAGAACATAGTACAGTGAATATTTCGTATGTGGGTGGTGCTGATGACAGTATTACAGGAGGAAATCTTTAGGTGTTAGGATACTGTTAAGTTCATGGAAGATTCTAGAGGTAGGTAGTACAGGAGCAGTTTCTCCTTGCCTGATACTATGAGTTAATGACAGGGTGAGTGTTGAATTTGAGGTAGTTGTGTGTTTATTTTTCCTGAGTAAGAAATGCATGAAAAATGAGCTGTTTCACGGAGCTCAGATCACTGCTCTGTGAGGTCACAATGGTTTTCTTGGTTGCTGCAGCCTGTTGGGTCTTCACGGGGAAGCTGTTCTGTCTTATGTGTGCTCCTTTCTTCTCCCTCTGCTTCTATCTGTCCACAGTTGAAGCTGGTATGTACTTTCTTGAAAACAAAAAAAAGTAGCCATTGGTATGCATACATATGCTTTTAAAAAGTGAGCTTTCTTAAATGGTTCAGAGTTTTGTCTGCCTCAGAGGAAGCTCTTGTGGGGAGAGCCCCCCCACCCCCATCTGCATAAGCATTTGGCTTTAGATCTCTGCATTTTATAAATGCTTCCTACTGAGAAAGCATTTTTTAAGTCACTGTTTGTACCAGGTAATTTTTGCTGGGATGGGACAGAGTTGTTTTTTGTTTTTGGGAGCTGGGTGGTGGGTTGATGCTTTTTGTGTTCTGAGGCAGTAACCATGAGTTGCAGTGAAAACTGTGTGCTGTTGTCTTGAGAATTAGATGGGGTTTTCATGTGGTTTTGTCTAGGTTAATAGAAATGTGTGCACTGGGATATGCAGGTGTATGCTTTTTAACAGTTCACAAGTTTTAAGTTATTAAGAATAACACAAAATTGAATCACTTTAAGGCCATATGATTCTAGGCTTAACATTGTTTTACAAATCTTTAAATACATTTTAGAATCAAAACTTATGTGCTTAGTTTTCTTTTGAGTAATATAAGCTTTCTTAAAGTCCCATACATTCGGACTGTGGCAGCTAATTTTGTAATTTAAGCATTCATATGAACTACCTATGACATAATTAAAAAATGATTGACAAAATCTGAGAGTGCCGCTTTGACTTTTTGGAGTCGTCCTATAAGAATATATATACCAAAAGGAAAGTTCTCTTATCATTAAAAGTTAGCACTGAAATGGTTTTCCTTCCAAAGCGTTAATCTTGAATATTCCTTTGTAGTTACCATTTATACTTTTTGAAGTAGGTTATTTTCTAAAGCCCTGTATATTGCTTCAGAAAGGATCTCACTCACTATGTAGCTCAAGTTGGCCACAGTCAAACTCGTGATTCTCGAGGCAGGGTTTCTAATATCTCAAGGACACACCCTCAATGACCTAACTCTGTCTACAATTTTCATCATCTACTCATAGTGCCTGCCACTGGCTACTTATGATCCAAACCATTACGGTCTTTTCCTTGGGTTAAGACATCATGTTATGAGTCAGTGGACCAAGAGAGGAGAATGTTGTTTACTGTTACACTGTTACACCATGTTTTCCAAATCCTTTTGCCTGTAGCCCTGAAATATAAAACAGACTTGGCTTTAGTGTCAACGAAACCAAATCGCTAGGACCAGTGAGATACTCAGTGTGTGTGTGTGTGTGTGTGTGTGTGTGTGTGTGTGTGTAAAGGTGCCTGCCAAGCTTGATGACCTGGTTTTGATCCCCAGGATGCATGAGATTCCCACAGGTGGTCCTGTGACCTCCACACGTGGGCCATGGCATGTCTACCACACAAGCATGCACACACATGTACATGGTAAGTGGGTAAATAAATGTAATAATAGATAAATAAATTTTCAATAAAAATTTATTGAAAAAAATTGCTAAGCTTTTTCCCTTTGGACAAGTCACTAACCTCTTTGAGTTTATTGTGTTTATTCTTTTCTAAAATAAGTGGGAATAAATATTTTTCCTACCTGCCAGTTTATTTTAAAATTTTCTTTATGTGTATGTGTGTTTTACCTGCATGTGTGTGTGTCTGTCATGTGTGTAGTGCCCAAGGAGGTCACAAGAGTGTTGGAATCCCTGGGACTGGAGTTACAGGTTCTGAGTTGCCAAGTAGGTGCTGGGAACTGAACCCAGGATCTCTGCAACAGCAGTCAGTGCTCTTAACTGCTAAGCCATCTCTCCAGCTCATCTCACAGATAGTTTAGAACCAAAAGATAATGTGTGCAAAACTGTTTTATACTCACTTTCCAAAGACATGGCTACTATCAAATGGTACATTTTACTTTACCCTTTTTTATTTTATTTATTTATTTATTTATTTATTTATTTATTTATTTTTGGTTTTTCGAGACAGGGTTTCTCTGTATTGTTTTGGAGCCTGTCCTGGAACTCGCTCTGTAGACCAGACTGGCCCCAAACTCACAAAGATCCGCCTGCCTCTGCCTCCTGAGTGCTGGGATTAAAGGTGTGTGCCACTAACGCCCAGTTTACTTTACACTCTTGGAAGTGTGTCCTTTTAGCCTTCTCTGACTTTGTGTCAGAACTGACAAGATCTTTTTGTTTTTTCTTAGAGCTGGGGGGTGTGATGGAAATAGGGGAATTGTTTATAATTCTTTTTCCTTAGTACAAGGAAATCTCTCTTTCAAGCACAAGATGTAGAACTCCTTTATATGGGACTTGGACCAAGGAAAATACTGGGTGACGTTTTCGTTCCAGTCATCCAGTAGACGCAGAGTACATGTTGTATAAGAGCTATTGGTAGGGGAGGAGGGAAGGGAGAAGGGAACTGGGATTGTCATGTAATTCAATGGTGTTTGTAACTCAAATAAAAAAAAATCCTTAAAAAAAAAAGATCTATTGGATTTGGTGAGGAGTCAAGTTCTGCACTTTCTCCATCACTTTCTCCATCATTAACTAAATGATGTTAAAGGATAGAAGAGTTAAACCCATAGGGGTGGCTTCTATTTCAAACTCCTGAAACAAAAAGTAAAAAGCCTAGCTGGGCATGGTGTCACACATTTTTAATCCTAGTTCTTAAATTTCTAGTGTTTGGTGATCAGCAGAAGACTTGGTTGCAAAAGAAAGGTAGCAGGGCTAGAGAGAAGGCTAGGGGTTAAGAGCACTTAACTGCGATTGCAAAGGACCCACATTCAAATCTCAGCTACCTGCTGGCTACGACTCCAGCTCTAGGGGATCTGCTGCCCTCTTCTGGTCTCTACAGGCAATGGCATTCACATGCGCGAGTCTGAATGCAAACAACAAAAATCTTTAAACAAAGGAATAAGGCCTTATGTCTCTACAAGTTCACAGCCGTCTCAACCCTCTGAATTGAGAAGGAATAAAAGAAAACTGATTTTTCCTAATGGTAGATCGTATTGTTTGTTTTGTTTTTGAGACAAGGTCTCAGCTGTAACCTAGACTGGCCTGAAATTTGTGGCAGTGCCCATAGCCTGTACGGAGTGCTGGGTGATAGGCATGTGCCACCACATGTGCTTATTTCCTGAGAGGACTGCTTGTTAAGTGTTGCTTAGGCCAGTTTCCAACTCCCAGGCTCAGTCTTCCCACACTGACCTCCAGGCAGCTGGGGGTGCACCTCCATGCTCTCTTACTATTGTCCTTCCTACCTTTTGAGACCAGGTCCCATGTATTCCAGGCTGAATTCCACCTTCTGATGCTCACCCTGGTCTTTTTAAGGTATTCTTTTAGCCGGGTGGTGGTGGCACATGCCTTTAGTCCCAGCACTCGGGAGGCAGAGGCAGGTTTGAAACCAGGCTGGTCTACAAGAGCTAGTTCCAGGACAGGCTCTGGAGCTAGACAGAGAAACCCTGTCTCGAAAAACAAAGTATTTCTTTCCTTGGGAATAGTTACTGAGGAACAAATGACACTGTCTCCACCTGACCATTGAACTGCTGCTTTTCATACAGTTTTTTTCTACTTTTCAAATGTATTTCTAGTTATCATACAAAACCCTGTCGCTTAGCAGAGCTATAACTGAAACAAGTCTCCTGTATTAAAGCTCTGGATTTGTGCACACACACACTCTCTCTCTCTCTCTCTCTCTCTCTCTCTCTATATATATATATATATATATATATATAGTATATTACATATATATATTTTATATATAATATATTTTATATATATTATTTTTTAACTGCACATACTTGAACCCGAGGCACATGCTTGGATCCTGTGTGTTGGGTGAGCACTCTACTGATGAGTTACACCCTCCAGCCCTCCTATCCTAGTGCTTTTAGCAAGTCTATTTCCTTCTTTTGTCTTCCTACCCCTTTCTAAAATGGCCAGGAAGAAACTCCTAATGAAATGTAAAGCTCATAATGAAATGTAAAGAGCATAAGGTTGAAAACGCTTTGCAGGTAAGCAATCCTAGTCAACTTGTTCTGTATAGCCACACATTTCCCTATTTCATTTGAGTACTTTTTTAGTTATTTATTATTCTGCCTGCATACCAGAGGAAGGCACCAGATCTCATTACAAATGGTTGTGAGCTATCATGTGGCTGCTGGGAATTGAACTAGGACTCCTGGAAGAGCAGCCAGTGCTCTTAACCTCTGAGCCATCTCTCCAGCCCTTGAGTATCTTTTAAGCAAGCAGTTCACATATGTGTTTTCATGTGGAAGCTTATGTATTTAAACAATAGAATTAAGAATACAACTTTAAAAAGTTAAACAACAACAACAAAAACAACAAGCAAGTAGCTAATCCAACCTGCCTCCATTCCTTTTTGGCTTTAAGTCAGTTTCCAAAAGCTCTGGAAATCTTTAAGCACCCTTCCCCTATAATAAGTTAGAAGCATCAGGAACTTGTGCCTTCCAGGGCTCACACCCTGTAACCTCTGAATGTTGACCTCTCATTATACAGTGTGTCCTACTTATCCTGATTGGGGTATGAGAACCTATGCATTTGCTCATTGAAGCACTCACAGCAGAGTCTGGGAGAAGGGGCTCTCTGAGTAGCTTTGGTGGGCAGTCATACAATTAATAAAACCTTCTAGCAATGCTGACTCATTGTAACATCCCGTTAGAAAATGTGGTGGCTGGGTTACTAGGTATTGGAGCAGATGAAGTACCTAGAGTTAACACATCCCATTGTAACAACTTTTCTAAGAGCTTTTAGGGCTGAGGCATTTGCCCAGCGTGTGTGAGGTCCTAGGTTCAGTCTTTAGTACAGTCCAAAGAAGAAAGGAGAGGAAGGGGAAAGGAAAACTCAATTTGAGTTCCTGGTCATCCTGGACTAGAATTGAGACCCTGCCTCAAAACCATAGTTTGGAGCTGGAGAGACGATTCAGCAATTATTAGCACTTGCTGCTCTTGGAAAGGATCCAGAACCCACAACTGTCTGTCACTCCAGTTCCTGGGGATAAGACACCCTCTGACCTCTGCCTGCCTCTGCACACGTAGTGAGCATATGTATACTCAAGTACACATGCATACACAAAAAAATTTAAAGCAAAACCAGGCAGTGGTGGCGAATTCCTTTATCCCAACACTTGGGAGGCAGAGGCAGGTGGGTCACTGAGTTCAAGACCAGCAAAAAAAACAAAAAAACAAAAAACAAAAAAAAACCAAAGGGAAGCTGGCATCTTTTGTTTTTCAAGACAGGGTTTCTCTGTGTAGCTTTGGAGGCTGTCCTGGAAATCGCTTTGGAGACCAGGCTGGCCTTGAACTCACAGAGATTCGCCTGCCTCTGCCTCTGAGTGCTGGGATTAAAGGTGTGTGCAACCACCACCCTCAAAGCTGGCATCTTTTCGTTGCTTTCTGTAATACTCAGTTCCAAAGACCATGTGAACTGCAGAAACTGAATTTTCCTCCATTCTCTTGCTTTTTTGTGGACTCATTAGGTTCATGTCAGAAAGAAACATTTTGAGACTGAGCATGTGCTTTAGAATGGTACGGTGACAGACAAGGAGTGTGTAAAACAGTGAGATCCTCCAGAAAGTCTGGGGTATTCCCACCCAGCCCCTTTGGGATGTTGCTGAACTTACACATCTTGGAAGTTATTAGACCGTCACAAATCTGTGAGGGACAGAACTGGGGGAAACAAGTATTCATTACTTGACAGCACCCCACAGCAACCGAAGTGACTAAAAGCCTAAGTCACAGAAAGAAGTCTTGCGGCATCTGGAGTGCTTCATTTTATCAGTCCTGTGTGCACCTGTCTTCCTTCATGGAGGGAAACTCTTCATAGGTTTCTGCAAATAGGACACCACCAAGCTTTCATCCCAGCTTTAATCTCTGGGTTCAAGGCCAGCCCAGGCTACATGAAACTGTCTCATCAGTTGGGCAATTTTCCTTGCTTTACATAGAAGGAACTTGGGGCACAGACACAGGGTGAGTTACTTCTTTATTTTGTTCCCTATTGCCTGAGACAGAGACACCCAAGGAAGGCATATGAAGTGTTTTCCTATTTTAAACTTTTAAGTCCTACTAGGTGAAATGACTTGCGGGGGTTAGGACGCGGTGGGGGGAAATGCTAGCCCAGTCCCTAGCTATAATTAGTTGGCCCTTGACCCTTCTCTTCCTGCTGCAGATAGGAGGGGTACGGGAGGCCCCAGGGCCCTTTTGGACTGCTGTCTGCAACAACGACAAACTAGTAATTTAGGTCTTTGACTTGAGGAAGCTCGCTTCTTCCTAGTTAAGGAGACTAGTTAAGAGCTCTCTCCCCCGCCACAGCGCCTGGGGCTTCATCACGCGGGAAGCGGACAAGCCCGCTCTGTGGGAAGGCGGAGCTTCCTCTGTGGGAGGAGCTAGGTGGGGCAGGGCGGGGCAGGGCAAGGCGGAGCCTCCTCTGAGTACGGGACAAGGCAGGGCTTCCTCCCTGGGAGGTGAGGGGCGGAGCTTCCTTCTTGGGCGGGGCAGAGCAAGGCTTCCTCGGTAGGGGAGGGGCGGGACTTCCTCCGTGGGGCGGGGTAAGGAGGAGCATCTTCCGTAGGAGGGGCGGGGCTTCCTTTACGGGCGTGGTGAGGCTCTGCCAGCCTCCCTGGACCCCTCCACTGCGCATGGCACGTTGCGTACCTCCCTCCCAGCAACCGGCCTGGCGGCGGCGCGGCCACCAAACTGAGGAGGCGGAGCCGAGACGAGTCGGTACTGCGCTCTGACTCCTAGACCAGGTACCGGGTGGCGGGGCCGCCTGGTGCGCTCCCGGGGCCAGTTCCTCCGCCCCACTCCTCGGGAGTCCATCTCCTCGGGGCGCGCCCCAGCGGCCATCCCGGCTCGCCCTCGCCCTCGCCCTCGCCCTGCTCGGGCCCTCGTTTAACCCGGGTTCTGGGTTCCCACCCTGAGGTGTTACAGCCTGAGAGCAGAATAGGCTTGGGCCTGGCTGGGGAGACGCCGAGCAGAGTTGCCCGCAGGGAGAGGCTAGCTCCTGCCTGCCCTCCCCATCTTTCCCGGGGCTTCCAGACGGGGTGCCTGGGACCAGATGTCGTTTTGTCCTCCTGCAAAGTAGCAGCAAACCCTGGTACCGACCTCCCTCGACCCCTCTTTCATTTCAGGCGATGCTGGTCGGGCATCGAGTTGAGCCCTCATAAGGAAGCAAGAGCAGGGTTATTCTCTGCTTTGGTCGAAACCAAGAGTTTCTGATCGTCTTTTTGTTTTAAGTGCTCCCCAGCAGTTTTGAGAACTGGGTCTGGCGTGAGCACGACAGGGGGTGGGAGAGTCGTTAAATAAAATTGTTAATAATTTTAGGAAATAAAGAGCTAACTTCTGAACTCAACCTTCAGCTAAGACCCTAAGATACTTCGACTTGGCTTCGACCCCTTCTCCAGGCTGAAATACTTGTTGAGGTAGAACCAAGTTCCAATATGTGGACGGATCTTCCTGGAGTAGTTGATACTTTAGAGACTGATTCTGGTCTCTGAGAGGCGAAACACCAAATGTGAGGCTGCAGGTGTGGTTCAGTGCCTGAGTGCTTGCATATCGTTAGTGAGGACTTGCATTCGATTCCCAGCACTACCCGCCTCCCCACCCCCCAAAAAGGCTACCTAATAAGTCATTAATTATGGTGCTGAACTGGTCAACTCTCTTCATCCTTTAATAAGGTTTCTTAGAAGAGTTTTGGCTATGACTATAGTTGTGATCTCAGACATGAAGAAAATCTAGAGGACCAGTGACAAAAATAGAAAAAGCCAGAACAAGTGAATTCTTTGTCTACCTCTTGAGGTGGTAGAGTGTGGTTGGGTGGCCTTGGAGATGATTATGGATAAGAGGACATGCTGCTGAAAGACCCGAGTTCCAGTCTCTAGCATCTGTGTAAACAGCCATGTGTGGCCAAGAGCTTGTGACAAGAGAAACACCAGAGCTTGCTGGCTGCCGGTCTTGTCTCAAGGAAGTAAGGCCGAGAGTGGTAGGGTAGGAGGGTAGGACACACACACACACACACACACACAATTAAAACAGGGAAGCAAGTGGTTAGTGGGAGCATCTGTAGCATAGGATACTTGAGGTGATTATTCACTGAGAGTCAAAATTAACCTGGGAGCAAGAAGGAAGCGGGGTCTTTAGACTCCACTTTCTTTGGAGCCTATCTTGGCACTCGCTCTGGAGACCAGGCTGGCCTCGAACTCACAGAGATCCGCCTGCCTCTGCCTCCCGAGTGCTGGGATTAAAGGTGTGTGCCACCAATGCCCGGCTTCCATTTTTTTTTTTTTTAAGATTTTATTTATTTATTATGTATATAACATTCTGCTTCCATGTATATCTATCCACCAGAAGAGGGCACCAGATCTCATACTGGATGGTTGTGAGCCACCATGTGGTTGCTGGGAATTGAACTCAGGCCCTCTGGAAGAACAGCCAGTGCTCTTAACCTCTGAGCTACCTCTCTAGCCCCCCCCCCCTTTTTTAAGATAGGCTATAGCCAAGAATGATGTTAAATTAATTCCTGGTCCTCCCATCTCTGTCTCCTGAATGCTGAGATTACAAGCATGAGCTACCATTCTCAGCTTTGGATTTCTGTCACTTTTATAGCCTTAGCAGTTGACCTCTAAATCCATATAGCCATATTAAACTCTTCTTAAACATCAATATGACTTTCCTAACAAATGGCTATCCCCCCCCTTTTTGAAAGATATAATCTTTCTCAACATTATTGAACTCTCAACATTAGTTAAACTTGAACCTGGCCGAGAGGGACATCTGGTGTTCTCTTCTGGCCTCTGTATACACACCCCTCATACATACATGCATACACTACACACTCATACACATACACTAAATAAGTATTTTAATTTATCCTTACATTAAAGCCACTTCTCTTTCTGAACTTTCCTATTTCTGGCATTAGTTCAGTGGCATATTAATCTCTTTTTGGTAACTCAAGAACACACAAGTAGGACCATCAGTTATAGAATGGGCTCCCAGATAAGGTATTGTCTCTGCAGTTTGCAGTTGGACTACACAGCCATATAACTAGGAGAGCTTGTAAAAAGATATTCTCCAGCCATGCTTGGCAGTGTAGGCCTGTCATCCTAGCAGTTAGGAGCATGGAGGCAGAGAATCAGAAGTTCAAGGTCATGAGCAGCTACATTGTGACTTTGAAGTTCAGCTCTGTATGTAGTAGACCCTGTCTCGAATTATCCAAAGAGCAGAGAATGAGCTTGATAGCTTGGGAGGCTGTGTCAGCTTTATGCCGTCTTTATTCTTAGCCACTCATCTGTTCCTTGGTGTCTCCACTGCTACATGCTCTTAACTCCAGGAAAATTGTTTTCTAACCAGCATGCTTTTCTCTGGGTTATTTTTACCCTTCCCTTTCTTCATTCCTTTATAGAGTAACATTTCTTGGAATGTTCTTCCAAACAAGATTTCTCAAATGTTAGTTAATAGCTTGGTCCACATGCCAGCAGCATTGTCACTTCCATGGAGTGTTAGAAACGTCCAAGCCCACTCCAGACCTTCTAAATTGCAGCCTGAATTTTAACAAGATCTCTTAAGTGATTTGTGGGCACAACAAGATAAGAGACACACTGCTTAGACCACTGTTGTGTGTCATCTTTCTGTTCAAAGCTTACAGTGGCTTCCTACCCCCTGCTACAGCCTTTTGTTAGCATGCATTGAAGCCCGCCTCATGGTTATCACACACTGGAGAATGTGTTCAAAGTGCTAACACACTTTTCTTCACTTTCGGGCAGCTATTTAGTGTTACTGAGTGGTTACTGTATGGCAAGCACTGTGTGGAAGCTGGAGATACACCTTTGCATAAGACAGCAAATACTAGATAATAGTTACACCCTTTGTCTTGGAATCTCCATATTCTTTAAGTCACCTTTGATATTCCAGGCCCACTGCCACTCAGCCATGTTTTTGCTGAATTCCATAAGAAGTTGCTCATTCCTTCTTGTCCATTCTCTCTGTCCTATTTATTGCTGTACATCCCACTTCCACAACCAGTTAAGGTCCTACTCCCTGGAGTGTGTCATATGTCTTACACCATTGTGAATTGCTATGGTAAGGCACCAGGGCCCTGTCAGAAGGAGGTGCATGGTTGATGAAGAAAACCTTGGTTTTCTTTCAAGGCCTGGCCCCAACATAGACTCTGGGGTTCTAAGACAAGTTGGTGATCCCACACCCTATTCCAGGTTTAATGTATAAATCTCTTCATCATAGCTACTCTTTCAGATAAAGAAAAATAAAGTATACTGGGGATTAAATTTAGGACCTTGGGCATGCTAGGCAGATGCTATTCAACGTAGCTTTTCTGACCTATGCTTTTTTTGAGAAAAGGTTTCCCTGTGAAGCTTTGGTTGTCCTGGAACTCTCTATAGACCATGCTGGCCTCAAACTCAGAGATTCACCTGCCTCTGCCTCGAGAGTTACCACTTTAAATGTAACTATTGGCTATCCTAAAATAGATTTTCAGTTTTTGCAAAGTGTATAGGATTTCGTCATGCTAGCCCAAAGTGAGGCCTTATTCTTATTTCTGAGGACTTAAGTCATGTCAAGTAATAGTAGACTCTTAAAAAAAAAAAAGTAATTGTTGCTTATAAATAATGAAGCTGTATCTAGGATGGGTGAAGAGTGCTTGTCTAGCATGTGTGAGGCCCTGGGCTGAATATCTAGCACCACAAATCAATAAATAAAAAGGCTATTTCTGTATCTGTCTACTGAGACTATTGCTTTGCAGTGTTATATATTCTTGATAAAAATGGATTTATGCTTTGAATGCCCTTTCCTCCATCTGCCTTTCCTTCCACTGTAACTTTGTACTTTAAGGACATTTGAAAGCAGCATAGTGATCTTCATGTCACCAAATTAGGAAAGGAAAGTCCCTCAATATTCAGATGAATGTCTATTTGTTTTCAGATTTTTTTTTTTCCCTTGATCCAGGATCTCTTCAGTAGCTATGCTGACCTTGAACTCTTGACCCTCCTACTGCAGTCTCAGTAGTTCCAGGATTACAGAGGTTTGCCACGGCACCCAGTCTGCTGTGCAGCATTTGGCTTTACATTTTTTGTTTGGTTTGGTTTGGACACCGGTTATATAGCACTGGCTAGCCTCAGAGTCACATATAGGCAAGTATGACCTTGAGTTCCTGATCCTCATGCCAAGCACTGGGAGGGATTTCAGGCATGCAACACCACACCCATCTTAAAATGTTTTTTTTTTTTTTTTCTTTTGTAGAATCCTTAGAATTTTTAAGTACACAGTCATATTATCAGTAAATAGTTTTACATTTTCAGCCAGGTGCAGCTGGCTGCCCATAATCTCAGCCCTTGGAATCTAATTCAAGAGGATTGTTTGAAGCCAGCCTATCCATATAAAGGACTTTGTCTCAAAAATAACAGTGCTGGTAGCTTATAGGTCCAGTGCCTGCCTACCATGCCCAAGGCCCCACAGGAAAAAAAGGAAAGGCACTTCAGCTTTCTGAACATCTTAATTCAAACTAAAAATCACACCTGTATTTACGATATTCAAGTTTCATGAAGTCAGACAAAGAAAAATATTACTTGTGGTTGTGGTGCCGCCGCAGTCCCAGTATCCGGGAGAGAGGAGGAGGGCCAGAAGTTGGAGCTCATCCTCTCTGTGCATCTGGTGAGAGACCAACCTGGATGCCCGAGACCTTGCCTCAAAAAAGAAGGAAGAAAAAAGCCTGCTGGAATCCTAGCACTTAGGAGGCAGAGGGCAGGTAGATCTCTGAGTTCAAGGACAGCCTGGTATAGAGTGAGTTCCAGGACAGCTTGTGCTACACAGAGAAACCTTGTTTCAAAAAGAAAAAAAGAGGGGGCGCGGGGGAAGCCAGAGAGTTTTGCGCTTTGAACACTGTGTGCCTGTATCTTCTGCTTGCCAGTCTTGTACTGAAGTGATGGTCAGAAGTGGGGAGGCATGGGCTGATGTTCAGAAGTCTGTGGGGAGACCGCGGAATGATGTTTGGAAGTTGGGGAGGCAGACATGGAGCAGGGTGTGGAATGGGGGGCTGCAGACACCCCTGCTTTGTTTTTAAAGGAGGCTTACTCATGGTGCACTTTATGTTAACTGTGGCTTTGCACCTGCCTTTCTCCAAGTTGAAAAGATTTCTTCCCATTCATCCATTGCACCCCCCTTCTCCCACCTACCTTACCCTGCCGCCTTCTTAACAGTCCTGCTATGTATGAAGCCCATGCTGGCCTGCAGTTCTTTTTCCTCCTGCCTTAGTCTCCTGAGTTCTGGGAATGCAGGAATGCATTGACATGCTGGACTCCAAACTTCTTTTCTTATACAAATGACAGTTTCAGAATGTACGTGCTCAAATATATCCAAGTTTATTGTCATGTGATACAATTCTAAACAAATACTCAGAAGTTAGCAAGTTCTATGTCTTGTGTGGTGCCTTGAAATGGTAGACCAGTAGTCCATTTTGTTCCACAGAGAAGCTTAATCTAGTCTGGGCATGTTGCTTAGTAGAATGTCTGCCTAAACACCTGGTTGGGTTCCATCAAAACAGAACACAGGTGTGGTTTCAGGAGTACAGGTCATTCTCTATTGTGTAGTGAGTTTGAGGCTAGCCTTTTCTATAGTAGACTTTTTCTTAAGGGAGAAAAAGATATTTCTATAAAAAGAGATTTAACCAACTCTCCCTGTTTCTCTTTTCCTTTTAGGCTTAAGTTTTTGAAATTGCAGTAGGTCTACACAGTAGGAGCCCATGTCTTTTCTCGTAAGTAAACCAGAGCGAATCAGGGTGAGTGTCTCCATTTTTCAGACTTTCTGTTTTTCTCTTCTGAAAAGCCAAGTATTTGGGTGCACACTGTGGTGGGTCACTTTGTCTTGTTTGAATGTGACACTTGGAACTGTCTGGTGGAAAACAGGAAGGTAACTTATTTTCTGAATTGGTCAGTCACACGCTAAATGAGTTGGGCTTTTTCTATGTAGTTACACAACTGGTAAAGATCTTGCTTCTGGTTTTCATGGGTTTATGTTTTTAAAATCAGTGTCAGATTGTACTTACTGGAACACATTTCTAAGTATTATCATGAAGAGTCTTTAAAATTAACTGGAAGAATTTATTATATCTTAAATTTTTTATCAGGGGCTAGTGAGCTGGCCCAGCAGGTCCAGGGCTTGCTGCCAAACCTGATATCCTGAGTTCAGTCCCTAGGAGAGGCCTGACTTCCACATGTCCTCTGGTCCCCATGTACACACATGGCACACATGCACAAAACAAATAAGTGAAGCAAAAGAACTTATACTCACCTGGCAGGAGAGAGACCATGATCATGAAGATGGTTTCACAGTTCACAGCTTACCGACTGCACTCAGGCATGCTGACACGTTTGATTCTCCCTGACACAGTAAACTCAATGGTATAATTGTGATAATGCGGACTTGGTTCCCACGCTCCCCTGTAAAAGTTTTAGGAAAAAAAAAAATCAGATTGACCTCATACAAATATTAGATTTAGTTTCTTTATAAATAAGCTCCAGTGACTTCACTAAAAGCTCACGGCTTATGGTCCAGTGAGCTGGCTCAGCAGGTATAGGGGTTTGCTTCAAGTCTGACAACCTGAGTTATGTCCTTGAGAACTCAGTGAAAGGAGAGAATTATGTCCCTGAGAACTCATAGTGAAAGGAGAGAATTATGTCCCTGAGAACTCATAGTGAAAGGAGAGAAGTGAATCCACATGTTGTCTTCTGACCTCCACGTGTGCGCTCCTTTCCTGGCAAAATATACAAATGTAATTCTTCTTAAAATAGTCTTACTGATTTTATCAAGTACTTAAATTTTTAAATGCAATAATGATTATTTAAAGATTTCAATCATATTTAAGTGTTATGAGAGATGCGTTTACCACTCTCAAATATTATATAGTATAGTGCACAGAAATTTTTATGTTGCCAGGCGTTGGTGGCACATGCCTTTAATCCCAGCACTAGGGAGGCAGAGGCAGGTGGATCTCTGTGAGTTTGAGACCAGCCTGGTCTACAAGAGCTAGTTCCAGGACAGCCTCCAAAGCCACAGAGAAACCCTGTCTCGAAAAACCAAAAAAAAAAAAAAAAAAAAAAAGAGAGAGAGAGAGAGAGAGAAATTTTTATGTTAAATTGGGGGGGTGTTATTTCTTTTTTAATTCAGAAAAAAATTGTTACAGAAAAGGACAAAGTGATTTTATAGTTTCAGTACATATTATATAGCTTATTTTAGAATGTCCTTTAGTCTTCCCTTTCTTGTATTTATATGTTTAAAAACAAGTTACACTGTAGAAATAAACTTCAGTGTTAATTAAGAGGAAAAGGTAACTCTCTCCTCAGCCTGAACTCTGCTCAGTGGAAAGAATGTCTCCTTGCCAAACTTCAACACCAGTCATGAAGTGAAACAGAATCTGGATTCCATTGCTTTTAAACATGAGCCACATTCCTATTTTAACCTGGCCTGATGAAGGTGAAACCAGACTCCTGATTAGTATAATGGAAATCTAACACTCACCTGAAATGGGCTGGTTAGGTGTACATTGATTGCCCTGGTTTAGTCCTGGTGAACTTCCCTTGTAAATGTGCTGTGGGTACTTACTGTACCCACACTGGAGTGACCCTGAGAAGATGAGTGTGCCCTCTATGCAAGGATAACATGCAAATCTCTGACATGAAATTAGAAGGGGTTCTATTTGAGAAGAGAAAGGAGAACCAGAGTGGGGAAGGGGCAAGATGATGATACTGGGCTGTAAATATGATCAAGGAATATGATCTGCACATGTGAAAGTATCATAAGGAAACTCAACCTTCTATGTAATGAATAGATGCAATAACTCTCTCTCGCGCGCGCGAGCACACACACACGCACAAAGATACAGGCATGGTGTAATCTAGCACTTGAGAAACTGAGGAGGATCAAGCAGTTTAAGGCCAGCGACAGACCCAGTCTCAAAAAGATAAAAACCAGATAGAAGAAGTAGTTTTGTAGATAAAAGAATATGGAATATCCTGGGTCTCATTTTATAAACTAATGGAGGCTTGTGAAGAATTCTTTTATTCCTGTTTTCTATGTATTGAATTCCAATAATACTTTTCAAATTGACACTGATGATCCAGGACCTCTGTAAGGATTATCTGTGGAAGCCAGATGGTAGTGGCACATACCTTTAATCCTATCACTATGGAGGCAGAGGCAGGTGGGTCTCTGTGAGTTCAAGGCTAGCCTGTCTACAGAATGAGTGCAGGACAACCAGGGCTGTTACACAGAGAAATTCTGTCTCTAAAAACAAAACAAACAAAAAAAGAATATCTACAGAATAAACAAGATGGAACCAAAGACAGTTTTCTATATAGGAGAGGAAAAAAGTATTATTAGGGACAGTTCCTTATATCTCCCCTCTACCACACTTAGGAACCAATAATCATTTTGCTTAAAGTTAGATACAGAAGACTAGAGAAAAGGATGAATCTATTGTTTGTAGCCAATTTCAAGATTCTTTTCAATCCTTCTGTGGAAATGGGTCTGATATTGTACTACTTGTTTTTATGTTTTTGTGGGGTTTGTGGTTGTTTTGTTTGTCTCTAAAGGCTGATAGCACTTTGTTGTGGCTTAGAAGATATACTAATTCTCTTTGGGGTTTTCCTCTTTAGCGGTGGGTCTCGGAAAAGTTCATTGTTGAGGGCTTAAGAGATTTGGAACTATTTGGAGGTAAGTACAGTGTGGCTCTCAGCCATCATTTCAGGGTAATTATCACTGTTCTGCTGACTGGATCAATTCATACAAGTTAGCAGTTTGAAGAGCAACTGTAAACTATAGTTGTTAGATTCACTGGCTTCCTTTTTAATCTGGAATTTCCTAGAAATCTGTGAATGAATCAAGCAGTTATTCTTGACCTGTCTTGATTGTTAGTTAGAAAACAAGTACAAAGACCTGTATGTTTCTTTTAAGTGTTTGTCCAGTTGAAACACATACTGTTAAATTAAAATTTTTCCAAGTCCATAAGGCCTGGTGGTAAGGGCCTGAATTCTGACTACTTGGGAGACTGAAACAGCAACATTACAAGTTCAAGACCAGCTTGGGCCCCTCTTAGTGAAACCCTATGTCAAACTGAAAAGTGAAAAGAAAGCATGAGAAAAGAAAAGAAAAGAAAAGAAAAGAAAAGAAAAGAAAAGAAAAGAAAAGAAAAGAAAAGAAAAGAAAAGAAAAGAAAAGAAAAGAAAAGAAAAGAAAAGAAAAGAAAAGAAAAGAAAAGAAAAGAAAAGAAAAGAAAAGAAAAGAAAAGAAAAGAAAAGAAAAGAAAAGAAAAGAAAGCACGGAATGCAGGTCAGTGGGAGAAGCTTTAACAGGGTTCACTCTGTAATCTTTCTCTCTTTCTTTCTTTCTCTCTCTCTCTTTCTTTCTTTCTTTCTCTCTTTCTCTCTCTCTCTCTCTCTCTCTCTCTCTCTCTCTCTCTCTCTCTCTCTCACACACACACACACACACACACACTAGGTCAAGACAAAGTAAAAGTATTATAAAAGTTGTGGTTGTATTGATCCATATAGTTGATTCATTTTTTTTTAAAAGTAATTTTTTTTTTATGTGCATTGTTGTTTTGCCTACAGTTTTGTCTGATCTTGGAGTTACAGACAGTTGTGAGCTGCCATGTGGGTGCTGGGAGTTGAACTTGGTCCTCTGGAAGAACAGTCAGTGCTCTTAACTGCTGAGCCATCTCTCCATTCCTAGTTGATTTATTTTTTTTTTTTTTTTTTTTTCATAGCAGGAATCATGAGACTTAGTAGAACTAAGGAAAAAAATCTGTCAGAGCAAAAATACTAACCTTCCATTTTAATAGGTTTTTGACCCCTGATGTTTAACAGGCACAGACATTCTTGTTTGACCCTTCCCAAAGTAAGACCTTTTTGGAAATGATCTTAGTGTAGGGCAATGAAAAGGTTCTCTGTAAAAAAAATAGTAGTAGTGGCTGGGCATGTTGGCACACACCTGTTTGCTATCCCAGCACTTGGGAGGCGGAGACAGAAGAATCATTGAGTTTGAGGCCATCTTACACAGCATAAGGGAATTCAAGAGCAGATGGGCTATATAACAAGACACTGTCTCTAAAAACCAAAAGATAATTATAATAACAAAATGCTCTAGTCTCATTCATTGTTTTCAACTATTGTGAATTCTAGGCACCCTATAGATAAGCAGCAGCCCACAGCTACCACAAATAGACCAAGTAACTGAAAACTCAAATGTATTAATTTTTTGGGGGAGGCAGTATGAGTGCTCTGTATGTCTGCAGGCCAGAAGAATTACAGACGGTTGTGAGCCACCATGTGGGTGCTGGGAATTGAACTCAGGACCTCTGGAAGAACAGCCTGTGCTCTTAACCTCTGAGCCATCTCTCCAGCCCCTCAAATGTATTAATACTGCATGCCTATTAATTTATTTTCCTTAAAGAATCTCAAAGAAATTCTAAAGTAGTGGTATTTATGGACTTTGTCAAAGTATTGCATTTTAGGTAAGCGTGCACACACACACAAAAAAATGATAGATTCATTTTGTTTTAATTATAACAGATAAAAATTATTACAGTATAAACTAATGGAACAAAAAATAAGTTCTGTTACTAATCTCATCTCCCTCCCATCATTAATGGAAATAAAATGCCCTAAAATTAAACACTGTGGCTTATGAGATGGCTCCGTGGGTAAAGATGCTTGCTTTGTCTGGAACCCATGTAAAGGTGAGAGAACCAATTCCACAGAGCTGTCCTCTGACGTCTGTACATGTACCATGACACGTGCTCATACACACTAATTCTTTATAGAAATTGATTTGCAAGTTCAATTTATAATGGATTAGTCACAGATGTTACAGAATATGTGACTGGGATGAATGGATTCTCAGTTCCAGACTGGGGTTTTTATGGGATTTTTTCTTTTTCTTTTTTTTCTTGCTTGCTTGCTTGTTTTGAGATAGGGTAGCCTTGACTGACTCTAAACGCAGAGATCCCTCTGCTTCTACCTCTGAATGCCAGCATACCTAGCCTCTGACTGTCCTTGACAGTGTCCTCGTCTGTGATCTGAGGTTGGTGAAGAGGTTGTCCTCTGCATGGTCACAGCTCAGTGTGGTCAGTGTTACCTAGTCTCAGATAACTTGGAATTTGCCCTCTGTCGGGAAGATTGAGCTGGGTTTCATGTAAACCACTACCCTTTTGGTGTCTCAGCTCTCACTAACTGCTATAAGCAATCGCCTCTGTTGTTAGTCTACCAGAAAACTGTCATCTGAGGGGAAACTACCACTCCTTTGAAAACCCAGGGCCAAATTACTCTTCCTCTAATTTTCTGAATCAGGCAGTATATACTCTCTGTATCTGATGAGAGGCGTTTCCCTGGTGATTAAACTTTCTCCTCTGACTTGCTGTAGTTTAAAGTGTTTGGAGTTGTGTGATTTAAGATGTTTGAGAATGTGTAACCACCCTGTACTTTACAGTGGAAGACTAACTTCTCCTGAGCTGGGTAGATGAAACCCAGCGCCTTCTGTGTGCCGGGCAGGCCCGCTCCCACTGCACTACGCCTCAGCCCCCATGTTAATGCTTTTTATTACTTTTGAAGATGGAAAAACTCAAGGGTACATACAGAGGATTTGTGAGCAGGGGCCACTTGGTTGTCCTATGACTCATCCATTTCATTCCCAACAGCTGATGCCCAAAGCCACTGCTGGACTTAATTCAGAGGCAAACAGCTCTGACTTGGAGACTGGAGCTGGGCAAGAGTCCCTTAGATGTGTGCTGCTGCTGGGGTGCTGAAAACGCTGTTTGCCTTAAAACCAAACAAGGCCCTCACCCCCACTTCCCCCACAAGCAGTCTAGTCTCTACACTCCTGAGAATCGGCCCACCAACCCTGTGACTTTAAAGTGAATTTTGGAGCCTGACACAGTGGGTCATGACTGTAATCTCAGTATTCTGGGGGGTGCAGCAGGAGAATTGCCACAAGTTCCAGATCAGTTTGAGGTATACGTCAAGATACTATCTCAAAAGGAATAAAGGGCCAGGAGATGGCTTAGTGGGTGAGGGCACTTGTTGCCAAGCCTAATGAGCTGAGTTCAGTCCTAGAGCTCACATGAAGGAGAGAACCAGCTTCCACAGCTGTCCCCTGCTTCAACACACATACTATAATAAGTGCTAAATTTTTTAACAGGGATAGAAAGATGGCTCAGCAGTTAAGAGCACCCAGGTTCAATTCCCAGCACCTATATGGCAGCTCACAACTGTCTGTAATTCCAGTTCCAGGGGACCTGACACCCTCACACAAACATACATGTAGACAGAATACCAATGTACATAAAATTTTTTTAGAAATTTCAAGAAAATTAAAAATATATATGAATTTGTGGGCCTGGGCATGTAGCTCAGTAGTAGGTAGTTAAAACAAAGGGAAGGGCAAAGTGGATGTTTGGTACAGTGCTCAGAAACAGACATATTCAGAATAGCACACTGTGCTGGTGGGAAGGAGATGTGTGCCCAGGGCTGTAGCTGTGGAATCGACTCACACTCGTGTGCAAGTCCCATGAGGCTGCCTCGGTCTCCTCGCAGGTCTGTGCATGTGTGTGGTGCTGTAATGCTTCAGTGGTTTCTATTATTAACTGTAGTCCTAACTGTGGTAATTGCTGTTCTGAATGTGGGTGTGTCTTCTGCTAACAACAAAATGCCAACAACTGATTTCTCTACCCCAGAGCAGCCTCCGGGTGACACTCGGAGAAAAGTAAGTGGCTTTCTGGGCTTTGGCTCTATGGCTGCTGCATGGAGATGACATCTTGTAGAGATTGTGTGTTTTGCTGGCTCTTGTGTTATGCTTCTGCTGTTCTGTCTTCTCAGCTTGATGTGTAGTACAATTTTGATTTCCTTTTCTGTTTTTACTTGTGGTGCTTCAGGTTTCACCCTGGAAAGGCTTCAGCATGCACTTTAAAGTGCAGAGACGGTTATCTGTGGGGTTAGAGTCTCCTCCCCTGCATGCCTCTCATTACTCACCCCTCCCTTACCCTCAAGTAAGTTCATCAGTGTGAGATTTCAGTTTTAGTGACTGATGCTTCAACTTCCTCATCTGTAGACTATTAACAGTAAATTTCAGTCTACGGAGAAAATACAGATCTTTCTCTGATGAGATGGCTCAGCTGGAAACACTAAGTTGTGTAAGCCTAGGCGCCCAAGTGAGAAACCAGCCTGAATGATCCCTGGGACCACATAAGGTGGAAGGAGAAAACTGACCTCCACACATACACATTCTTGCTCATGAATATATGCAATTGAAAAAAACCCCAAAATTTAAAACTCACCCCCTCCTGCCTCCCTCCCTCCCTCCCC